ATCCTTTGTGAGCTTTGGTAAACTCTTTGTGTAGAACATAAAATTAACTATTTACACATGGAGATTTGGGCTGCAGCGAATCAGCTTTCTGGAGACCAATGTGGAGCTGAGAGGATTAGCTGATTAACCTACATCGTTGACTGTTTCATTTTTCTCTTCCAGTTACACATGAGTACATGCTGCTGTTCAAGCTCATCTATTACATTTAATTGTCTATTATTGGGATTCTGGACTGCTGCATTGACGTACCAGCTAACCTGAATACGTCCGTTTGAGATCTAGAAAAATATAACAGAAAATGACAAATGTAGCAAACAGTCCTGGTTGAAGGCTGTGAAACCTCCATCTGTAGTCACATCCTGTTGCGTGCATCTTTTTTTATTGCACGTAAATATTGAATTTTAACATCTAATTAACAAAACCAGTGTGGCTGACTGATGGGTTTAGTGTCCCCAAGAGAAAATCCCACAGACTGACCAGAGCAGTTGCTGTTAAATGAACTTACTGGTCCGGTACTTGGGTCGACATGTTATCTGAAGACCAGACACTTCTAAGGTGCAGTGATCCGTCAGGAGAGCTTGCCAGGGGATGGTCACCGCTATGCTGCTCACAAAACCATCCACTATCTCCAGTGGAGCCCCGAGGGACTCCAAAAGTTCATTGACCGCCTGGAGAAAAGAGGAAGCAATCAGTAAGGAGTGGGGAAGAAATATAAAGTGACACAAATAGAAATAACTGGTTTCACATTCGTCTCAGCACCCTGGGTGCAGACTTATACAGCAAAGGAAGTGCTCAGTTAGCATGGCAGAAAGAAACTTATCCATCCAAGCTGTTTAGACTCTAGTAAGAGATACTACTAATCTGGTGGCCTGGTGATGTCTTTCCCATATGAGTATTTCTTCGAAGAAATGCGAGCTAAGCTGAGAGTATGACGTTGGAGATTGTTGTTGAACTCGAGTGCAGTTGCGAAACAGTCAAGGGTGCATGAGTCCGACAAAAACACACGATGCCTGCTGCTGCAAAGTTGACAGCCAGCCTGTCCTCTCCTTCAAAAACTCACCCAGACATCGAGGTTGATCTCCTTGATGACACCGCTGCCGTTGTACAAGTCCAAACCCAGCTGTTCGAGGCTCAGTCGTTCCTGCAAAAAGTGACCGAGGTAGTGCTGTAGAAGGTACCGACAGGCCCGCTTCTTGATTGAGCCTGACCAGGGGAAGAGCCAGCGAGACATAGGGCCAGAGAGAGCGGGGAGAGGGAGCGAAGAGGTGGCGGAGGAGAACGAGTGCGGCTACAGTCCTCTGGCAACTGCATAACAGACTAAAACAAAGTGTGCAAAAACAAGGAATGAGCCGCAGCTAGCTACAGGGGGCTAAGGAAGGGGGAACCGTAACTCTACTTCTCCCCTCGGCTTGACACAAAAACTAGAAAATCCTTTGTGTCAGGACCGACGAGTCTCTCACGTTACTTGACGAGACGTTACTCCAACTGACTGTAGCTGTCCCGGCTCATATTTTCGGTCGGTTTGTGTCGAATTGGAGCGACAGGTCCCGTTGGTGCGTATCTCTTGTTTCAGGGTTGTTTATTGTTATCATACGCCAACTGATGGTATGGTGGACGTACGTGCGTAACGCGTCACCCTGACGACACCCGGAAAAAGGATGTAACGATCCAGACGCCATCTTAGTAAGGTCAGGGATCGGAATCAATATTTAAGCTATTTTAAAAAACAAGTTAGTTTTTGTTTTTTTAAATTTGAATATTAATATGAATATATACGCTACAAAGGTTGAGAGAACAAGTAAAAAAGAAAAAGAAAAAGAACAAAAGAAGACTAAGAAAATTAAACTAGAAATGTATACTGTATAACAGAAGTGCACTCCTAACCAAATTCAGTTGAAAGTCAAATCATTCTGAACTGTATCACCTTACTGTTATTGCATTGTTTTTAAGTTAAACATTTGGTGAGGAAAAATACATGCTCCACAGTAGGAACTCAATGTCACAAAAATGTATGCACCTTTCATAAATGCGATCCAAATATTTTTTGGTTTTTGATATGTCCACCTTAATTTTTTTTGGACCAACTTGATTTTCCTTGGCATGGAGAATACCAAATGTCTGAAGTGATATTCTAGTTTAACACTAAGGTGTTACTGCTATTGTCTTTACATCAGCAGGTGCATTTGGCATCATTTTCAGGGTGCCTGTTGGCTTTGATTGGTGGTGCTATGCCTCATTCTACTCCTCCTCCTGATGACTGCATGTGTTTATCTGATTTTTAGTAGGTGACTGATCTTTCTGCAGCCTTTTCCAATGTGTCAAGACTTACAATACCATTTTTCAGTTCCTCTGACAACTCTTTCATGTGGAACAATGACGCTAACATACAGATGCAGACATGTTGCCAAGAGGTCCAACACTGAAATAATTCAGAAATTCACAGGTGATTTTATATCCATGTTCACGCAATTAGGCTAATTGGAAATCACAAATTTTTTTCCTTTGTTCGAGTGATCCCAGGTTTTCAAATGTGTGTCACTGATCATAGGTGTATCCGTGTTTGTTGTAGCTTCTACTTTTAGGCCTGTATTTTCTTAAAAATAACATACAATTTTGCGTCAACTTACAGCTAGCATCAAGTGACCCGCACCAGCACATACAGGCTCAGTTTAGATTTTTACACAATGTAATTGAGCTTTCCACATTTCCACATACAAAGCTGCTATCAGCTTTGTAGTTAATGGTACTAAATCTACATGATGTATAAAAATGATTATTTTTAATGCAATAACAAAGTCCTTCTACTCATTTATATCCACTTACGAGCATTTTTGTAGCTTTAACCATGTAAGAAAAAATCACAAAATAGTTTATTGATCAACATAAAGCAACAAATCAAGAACAAAGTTAAATCACTGGTCATACATCTTTATTTCTATGAAAGCCTGTAGTGATTACTATACAAGTGACCAAAACCTAAAGATACCATGACAACTAAAAACAGTATCATAACATTGGTCTTTACGTCATAACAGTTGACATTTGGATGTTAAAACAACAACGGAAGTCAATTTGATCTACGTTATTTTTAATTAAACCAAAAGGCAAAGAATAAAAGATAAAAGAAAAGCCATAAATAAAGTTACTGCAGTAATTATTTCACAGATGTTTGATTTAACTCTTCATTTTAGGAACGCTACATCGGGGATCTTGCCATCTGTCTGTAAAGAGAAAAGAAGAGAAATTTTAGGTCTGTTGTATAACAATCATATCCCCACATGTTGACAAATATGGAGATGAAAAGAATTAATGCAGCTCATGTTACCTTCAACTGAGTGAAGATCTGTGCCGCTCTGTTGAAATCCCACTCATTGTCTTGCAAACACCTGCGAGGGATAGCAAGTGATAAGAATTAGATGAATACATACTATCTTGCAACACTGCCAGTACTACTTGGGCAATAACAAGACCTACTTCTGCGACCATTCCAGGTTCATGCCTGACTTCTGTGAGAAGGCTGTGAGCATCTCTTGCTGTGGTGCGGTGAGGGTGGGGACGGGACTGGACGATGGAGTTGGTGCGGGAGCCACAAAGGCTCGGCGGATCTCCTCTGTTGTGGCCATTCGGATGAAGAGCTGGTCATTAACAACACACAACCTGTCACAGGAGAAACAGAGCAGACCAACGATGAGGTTTGAATGGTCAGGAGGAGTTTGCTTATTTGCACAATTTACACTAGGCTCATCTGCCATGTACACTCAGTAACCAGGGTCTTGCCCTGTTTGTCACATGTTGGCATGCCATAGTACGAAAAGCACATTAGAAACTCCTGTAGTGAATTTAGCCGATATCGGTACAGAGCCCTGGAGTTGTGCCTGCTGGTTCACTGTATAGCTTACCGGGACATCACTAAACAACAGCTAAAATACTACATCTTTCTTACAAGTGTTTTTAGAGAAGTTTTAATTTATACTAGTCAACATTTGCGTAAAACATATATAGCTACCCAATACAATGGAAACTTGAGTGTACTTTTGGTCAATGAAAAAAAATAGTTTGATAATTTCAAATTCTATTTGAACTTTTCAGCTGGAAAAGAAATATGTTTGCCTCCGTGAAAAGTCTTTTTCTTACAACCAGAAACTGAGTTCAAGGTCAATTTAAAAACACTGTGGCAAAAACAAGCCTGTTTGTAATTGAATTCCAACTAGTTAGTCATAAAACTCACAACACGGGCCATAAAGGTGCCTTATAAAGCCCCTCTTCCCTTCCAACTGTCTATAACCACACTTGTGAACTGTCCAATAGATGAAAAAAACATAAACTAAATAAAATTAAACTATAACTGTCACTGCTATGAAGGCAGTGGTTTTAGAGCACAGAGCTTTTGTTTCAAAGCTGTTGCGGCAAACAAGAAAAGGATGTTTGTTGTCATGTGTATTTCAAATATCCACAACTAAATTAGTAACACGGGACAAACATTTCCACTGGGAAAGAAGGAAAGACAGCAGGAAGACGGCAAGACGATAAACACTGGGAGCTCACTAAACTTACCCAGAATTTCCTGCTGGGACTGTGATGAAAACTCGAGAGAAGGCCATTGTGGATTCTCGGGATTTACCATCAACAACAACTGAAAAACAGGCACGACAAATTAGCAACAAAAATCACTATCATTGTTTTTTGTAGTGGATGACATCAAAATCTAAAATCATGATGACCAAAGAACTCACCTTCTTTGAAAACTCCACTCACTGTGAATGATAGTAGTGTGTTCTGTGAATGGGGGGAAAAAATTAAAAATTAGAACTTGATCATGAATGACTGGCAGTGAGATGAAAAATTTGTCAAAGTGCTGGCTGACAGAATAAACAAACTCACCGTGTAGGTGTTCACATCAATGGTAAAGGAGGCGATGTCGTGCTGAGTTTTTGGCAACTCATTGAGAAAAGCCACCACATTCAGTCGCGTGTGCTTCAGCAGCCGAAACCGCATTGCTGAAGAAAAAAACATTCAGAGAGGAAAACATTAGGAGGCATTTCAAATCACATAAAATATTCAGTCTCACCAATTCAGACTCAATGACAGGTGAGAATCTCAATGGTAAAACTCACTGGAATCTTTAATCCTCTTCAGGTTTCGACTGTCTTTGTGATACTCTCCCAGACTGCTTCTAAACACCAGGCGAGAGGACAGATAGAAACAGTTAGACTAAAGCTGAGACTTAGATAGGAGGCATCAGAAGTCAGATCAGGAAAAGAGCAGCCATTGATGAGGAAATCTACACAAAACGCTAAGTCGTTAGTTATACAGAAGTGTGTCTTTGAGTCGGTTCTTACCTGGAGGGGTTCTGGGTGGAGTAAGGTGTTGTGAGGGATAACGATGCTCCATCATGGTAAGCATCCAGGAGCGGCTGTCTGTCTCCTGAGTCATATATGCTGTAGTACCTGCAACACAGTCACACAGAGTGAGTTTCCATGTGTTTATTCCTTTTCTAGAGCAAACAATGTATAAATGCCAAGATAGGTCACATTTAGTGGATTAATCCTGAAAAGCAGGAAGTCATCGAACTGTTATGAGATTATTTTATATTTTGAAAACGTGTAAACTCACTGTTGCAAAAACCGAAGGATGAGAGCCTTGATTTCATCAGTGCCAAAACAGCTTCCCTGAATATCCAAACAGAAAAGCACTTTTTAGGTACATCAAAGATACAACAATTGTCTTGAGTCTTTCGCCAAAGGAGGACAACATAGTGTTGAACATTATTTACCAATGAGATTAACTTTGTGAACCCCAAATTCCATAGATGGGCTTGAAAGGCACGATTTAACATTTATAAAAAAAAATAAAAACCCTCCCTGAAATTTCACAATTTATTAGGACAAGAAACTTTCCAACAATCCTTACAACTTCAATTGCCATTAGGAAAAGCAAACAATCTAAGCTTAAAATTGGGCTATTTCAACAAAAATAATTTTATTCTAGATTTCATAAAAATTTCCAAAATAAAACATTAGCCTAAACAGATTATGTAAAAAACAACCAAAAAATTTTTGTTTCCTTGGCACGAGAGTGAAGCCATTAGGGACTCAGCTGCTATTAACAGACGTGGCAAAAACTGAGGGATTTTCAGCTGAACTGCAGGCTGTGTTTCTGCAGAGCACAGCAGGGCACACAAGGATGGAAACAAATTAAGAACTTCAGCGTTTGTAACATTTGTGGGCAGCACATGGTAATTCCAACTTTTTAAATTTTTTTTATTAATTTATGGCACTATAATGTTGTTATACTGCACAGAAAAGATTTCTGAGTTCTCCCTACTTCTGTCTGTCTTCCATAAAGGTGCAGGACTTTATATTGCAGTGAAAAATGAGCCCACAGAGTGCAAACATTTGATAGGAGCAAAAATGCCCAGAACTGGTTTGGGGTTCAGAGGATTAATGAAGTGAATATGCTGAATATCACAGACACCACAGGACATCATCAGTGTGTCAATTTGAGTAAAAACACAACAAGTAGTTTACTAACCTTGCAGGGGGGGATAGTGGTGGGCGTCTCCACATCAAATCCAATGGGTGGGGGGAGGTCATGGCCATCCTAAAGAGAAACGCACAAAGACAGAGATGGGAATGAGAAATTACCACTGGTGATCTTTCCTGCTACTTTCTATTCATTCACCTAATGGGTACTTACAGATACTGAAAATCTATTTCAAGAACATAGACAGGAATAATTGGAATAAAAATGCGTACTACAAAATACTGTGTTATAGCAATAAAAACAAATATTTCAAACCAAAAATATGAAACGCTTTATTCCATGAAGTCTATGAAAATATATAATATTTACGGTTTTTCACAGAACATGACACATAACCATAATATTGTGTGGATTTTAGCTGTATAGGCTAATAGGGATAAAAAAATGGGGGAATGCCTGCAGATCCTTAAAAACCCACAACATTTTCATATTTGCTTATTTTAGATCCAGTGTACTAACACACACTAAAGAAGGAAGGATGACTGCAAGGCAATTAGGTGTAGAAATAAAACTTGTGGACGTACCAGTTTGAGAAGTCGGGGAAACCGCTGCCGCACAGCACTGGTACGGGAACAAAAATCAAGAGCAGTCAAGTCATCACCATAAATTTTCTCAGACACAGATAAATAATACTTATTACTGTAGATACCACTGTCAGTCACACAAGTCGATCCACTTTATGCATTTTTGTGCCTTTCAGATGTAATTGTAAGCTGCTACACTTTGAAGAACATTTGGGAGAATACAGTCATGTATAGATACATAAAAATAATGAAAATACTATCAGTGCCACAAGGATTTGATCTTCTTTGTTGCACAAGTAAACCCACAAATCAAATAACATAGGCACCCTTAATCCTCCCTCCAGCTTCATGCTGTGCTCTTTGAAGCCTCCCATCCCAAAGTGTACTTACCAGCAGGTATACTCACCCTTTCCCCCAATATGGTGTTATACACAGATCTGACATGGAGAAGCAACACAAGCACACTTTTCTAGGAGCACCCACATACAAACATGCAGAGTTCCACACTCTACCAGACTGCGCTGGAGACCAGCAAACATATCCACTTTGAATGACTAAAATAAAGAGGTTATGCATTGCTGGGAGAGAGGTGGTTACCGCCAGTCCTGTTAACTTCCCCCAAAACTCTGGCCATTCTGGGTAACAGATGAGTCTACATCACCAAAAAACAAATCAGGGTCTGGGTGAAAAAAATAATGACGTAAAGTATACAGAGACACTAGCAGCAGTGTCCTAACATTCAGAAGAGAAGTATCACTATTCATAATGCGAATGATTCTGTCGATGTCTGCGCCCATGATTAGCAGCAAGGAAAGGCAACCTGAAATCAGAGCTGAACAAAAAAGGAAACCTGGTTTCAAAGTGACCTTTACCCAGCACTCCCACCACTCATCCCTTAGTTTTCCCCAGCTGCCCAAGCAAAGCAATTATTAGTTAAATATCTCGCTCTGAAGCGATGACCCATCTCTTTGTGCAAGTAACTGGACTTGTGGCAGATTTTTCATTTTCTAGTTTAATTTGGGACCATGTCTCTGGTTACAGAGGGACAAGGAGTTCTTCAAGCATTAACGTAGCATAAAAATGATCTGGTCTACATTTAAAAATGATTAAGACTCTCTGCTTAATAATTGATCTTTTTTTTGTACTGGTCACAGCCATCAGAAACTGGAAGAAGTGTTCTCACATTTTTTCATTCAAACTTTTTCATGCAAAACTGAACTTTCAATTTCAGTTCAGAGCATATTTCTGTCAGAAGCTGGATAAAAGTATTTGCCAAACTCTCCACTTCATTCACTGAAAGGCAGAGGCCTGTTTTAGGCGAAAGAGATCAGACTTAATGGGAGAGAGAGAGACTGCTTTTTCTCTTTGGCTCATCACTGACATTGATGTCACTGATAATGACACCTATCCCCCTCCGCCTCGGCCCAACGGCTTCACCCATGGAGTCCCGTCTTCTCAATTTCTTCCCGTCGTGCTCTCAGTGAGTTTGAACTCACAGGGACTGAGGCTGAGTAATCGTGACTGTGCCTGCCTTAGGTTGTCCCGGGGTTTCGAGGTGGGATCTTACCCGTCATGGGCTAACCAGCCTTCCATACTCGCCTAGTACAGGGGGCCAAGTGGGCAAGGGTGCTATGAGGGGAGGGGAATCACTGGTTGTGGATTTTCTTTGTTTCATCCAAACATTTGTCGAGACGAAAAGGGATCACCCTCTGTCCAATACAGAACCTACACTGTTTAACAGTACTGCACAAAAGATCATATTTTTAAAGCATTTCACAATCAATTTTGTCACGAATGCTATGCTGAATGTCTTATTTTTAAAAAGTCCTTCTTCTCTAATATATATATATATATATAAATATAATTAGCAGTGTATTGGTGTTCTAGAGCAGTTTATGGGATAACTAAGCAGGATGTCAGCAGGGGAGTGCTAGGTAGAGCCTCACTGAGAACCATAAAGCCAAGATGAGACCAAAGCTTGAAAGTTCAGCCCACAGAGAAGCTGAATAACTGGCAGAGTGGCTGTTCAAACTGCGGAAAGTTTCAGCAAGCTGAAAGGAAAACAATATGCAACTGTATTGCGGTGAGCAGTCCTTTCAGTGACTTTGAGGAGAGAAATGTTTACTTTGAAGCGGGAAAAGAAAACCTTATTAATCAAGCAAGAAGCAACATGTAAAATCAAACAGAAAGGAATATATATACTTTGTACATATCCACAGATGCTAACTGCATGAATGTACAGTAGACAGCGTGTATGCAAGTACACATGTAGGTTACTTTAAGTACAGTAGTACATATACGACTGTATCTGTACTTAATCTGTATGTGGGTAGATTTGTAGACACTGAAAGATGTAACTTAATATCAGTCATTTTTTCCCATCCTTTCACCCCTGAAGTGGGCTTGTGGAGTAGGTGGGATGTTTTTTTTTTTTTTAGAGGTAAAGGAGTATAAGTAATGAAAACATTCTGCTATGGTAACAGAATGATGTAACACTGCCCTTAAACACATTTCTGGTGTATTTAAGTGGACTGTTATGCATCCACCTGTAAATATACTCATAAAAAAAAGCAGCAACACAAAACTTTAAAAAAAAAAAAAGAAAGAAAAAAGAAAAAGAACTATATCAAGTATTTATAAATTAATCAAAATGTCTCTTTTCTCCCCTTCTATTTATCGAAATCAAACATACAAATACAATTTGTTAACAGTGAATGTAAGATCTGGTTGGTCCACAAGATCACCCTTGACTGCTGGAGAAATGGTTTCAGGTATTACAGAGCATTCCTCCACACAAAGCCTGGCTTAATCATCTTTTGTTGAATACTCCTGCCATACAGGAGTGACTCTCAACACTGAGTTACACATTGACAGTCATACCACTGAATTAAACTCCATAGAAATATCTTTTCTCACCCCCCACAATCGCTGACTGACCTGATGTATGATGCCTGGTCCTTGAAGAGGTCGCACAAAGGGTTTCTGTTCAGCCACAGCTCCACCAGCTTCAGGCCTTTCACCTTGTCCAGCTCCCGGTCCGACTTCAGCTGGACAGTCACACGGAAACAGAACAAGGTGGTGTGAGGAGGAAAATATTTTTGAAAAAGGTTCAGCAAGTCAAGGGCCTGAAGTCATGCCTTCCTATTATTCTATGAACTGGGCAGCCCATCTCACCTCATTGTGGGAAAGGTTGAGGGTCTTCAGATTAGGCACCTTGGAAACCAATTCAGTGAGTTCATCCAGTTTGTGAATGCGATTGTTACTCAAGTTCAAGCAAGCCAGCTGGAAAAATGCGAGAAGAAAAATTAGCACACTTAATGCGATCCATTACTGTATTAGCACCTACACATACGATTCCATATAACACAGTCTCTGCTTCATTTCGTAAAAACAAAACTGCATTGTCCACTGTATTAATGTTACCTCAGGAATGTTTTCTTCAATGATCTTAATGACAGCTTCCATGTTTGTCTTCCTGTTCAAGATGACTTCAATGTTCTGGGAAACTAGATCTGTCATATCAAATGAAATTAGAATTAAAATAATACACAAAGACGTAAAATTTATTCAGAAAACATACTCACTACTTAAAGATGAAATCCCTGCTCATCACTGATTAAAGTATTGCATAATTAAATGGTTTAGCAATAACTTCTAAACAGCAGCAATAAGATACTTTTATTTTAAAAAACAGTCTAGTATGCCTGTCAGGTACTAGTTAAATATGTACTCAATATACTCTCATACACATGATTTACATGTAGAAGTGATGAGAGTATAATTACCTGGGTCTGTTCGAATATTGTTCAAATCCAGTGCTTGCTGGGAGCCATCAAAACGTTTTGCCATGCATTGCTGCGAAAGAAACAGTTAATATACATTACGCCTTTTTGCAACAGCAAAAAAATGGTCAAAAATAAAAGAAATGGATTGTTTATTGTTACAACAATATACTTCTCAGTTCAAGTGTTTTGATCCATAATAAGTCATCTCCACAGAGAAACCAAATGAAAGTTAAACACCATCATTTCTGAGACTTTGACCGTCATTGCAAAATGTAGCCCCCTTTAGGCATTTCAGTTCTGGCTCACCTTCAAGTGCTCCAAGTGTTCAGGCTTCAGGTCAGACTGGAGGAAGGCTGGTGGAGCAACAGGGTTGACATGCACTTCCACCTTTTAAGAAATAAAAGGTATGACAGTAAACCAATGAGCTATGTGCTGAAATGGACAGCACAGCATGGTGATACCATGATCTGGCAATACATATCGACTGATCAATAAATATCTTAGATTTAAAACAGTTTCTGTAGCAGAATCAGTGAGATTTCCCTCATTACCCCCAACATACCTTATAACCATCTGTGTCTGTGATCTTGTGGGAACATTTGTGTAAAGCATTGGCAGCAGCAGATTCATCCACATAAAAATGGACCCTGTTATGGTCAACATGGTACTGCAAAGATGGAGACAAAGAGACATAATATTTCCCTAAAACCTTCAGATTATTCATGTGTCTAGATGGAGAATGAGAATATACTTTTTAAACAAGTCAGAAAAAAATGTAAATGAACAAAGGCAGCAAGAAAAACACACAAAATAACCTCAACTTGAACCACCCTATAGTCATTTAAAGTTATAGCACACACTGCAATACAGATAAAAAAGCACTAGCTTATTTGCATATTTTTCCTTAATTGTATTACCCAGACAAACATACAACCTTTTTGAGGCCATTAGTTTATAACCAGTAATTATGACAGCACTAAAACTGACCTGTACAGGTGAGAATTGAACTGAACAGATGTTTTGAAGAGCTGAGAGTAACCACTTCTGACCATATTTTCTTCCATGTGGTATCTGTCAAAAAAGAAAAAACGCCAAATATGATATCCTGAACATTTACAAGGTAGATTTGTTGATGTTCTGAGGTGACAGTAATGACACACACCGTGACTTTGTACCAGTCTGATCGGTTTTTCCCTGCTCCTACACCACCACCTCCTCCACCTCGGTCTCCTCTGAAGCCGCCTCCTCCTCTGCCACCTCCACCTTTGCCTTGTCGTCTGTCTCTGTCAAACCGTCCTTCTCCTTTCCGAAATTTTCCATATGGATTGCTAAAGACACAACATGACGATAAATTCAGACAACACTCTTTAAAAACTGTAGCAACTTTTCCAGGGACCATTTAAGGAACTCTGTGTCCTCCTTAGTGGTTCAGTCGGAGAAATCAGGGCTGAAATTTAGTTCCTTGCCACATTCCCTTGATCCCAAAAAGTTTGCACTGTGCAGGTAGTGTTTTCCAGTGCCTCCAAAAGTAATAGAGAAGATTGTCCTTTTTTATTTGTACGTCTCTCTGCAACTAGCAAGCCCTAAGAGTAAACTTTGTTGTTGCAATCACATATTTTCTACACACTGACTAAACAGCAGCTTCTCTGCAAATCTTTGTCAGGGCAGCAACCTTGAAGCTTTAAAAATTGTGTAGATTCACTGTTTTTTATTGTGGACATTTTCCTTTAGATTCAGTGTTTCTCACCTATGCCTAATAACTAACGTGCTTTTAAATACACTTCCTACATTATAAAACGTGAAAGCAAAGCTTTTTTCCCCCTCTCTTTTCCTTAATTTTTAAGACAGTATTTCCACCATTTAAGGTGCATTTACACCAAGATCTGTTACTGCCCCAACAGGTAGTGTACATCGCATCACCCCAGTGTTAGTGGGACACCCTCATGCATGTACTAGCAGGGCATCAGCTACACACAATGAGAGGAAACTTATGAGTAAAACCCTGCTTTAAACAGTTCCAACTTTGGTCACAAAGTCCACAGCATGCCTTTAACAGATAAACCCACACTGAGAGCTGATATTGGTTTGCTTTCATTTAGAACCAGCTGGTTTTTCCAGTCCTATCATAATTCTATTATTAGCATTAGGCAAGGATGCCTAAAGATTAGGAGTGTTTTCCATTCTTCTCACATTGTTCAATACATATCTTGATGTATGATTCACAACTCGGTACGAAGACAATAAAAATATATGGAACAATATAGTGTAATTAAAAGGTAATTCCACTCACTTCATTAAAAAAAAAAAAAAAAAAGTCAAAAACATTCCAACAAAGGTAAATTAGTCAAACAAAATGACTTAACTGATCTTAATTCCCTTTCATAGTTTCATTTTTGTTTGCTTTTCCTGTGATACTTTTTGTGTGGGGAGATGACTAACAGAGGTTTTCAGTTTCTGCGCTTCAACCAGCAAACTGTCAAAGTGGTCAGAGGTGTTTCACTTTTTCTTCCTGTAACTCACAATAGCACAATGTGGAATGCACTTTCTGTGTCTCGTGTTTCTAGGCCACTGAAACAGACTTGCATCAAAGAATTAAGGTTTTGCTAAACATGTGTTACTCTCCTTACATACAGATAACATGAACAAATATAGTTTGTCTTTTCTTTTATATAGCTTAAAATATTTCATGTTGATTTAAACAGTCATCTTTTTAAAGTCAAGTTTATCAGTGAGTTGCTGCTCCAACAAACATATCTGATGACATTGTTAAACTATCAACACTTACAATCTCTGCCGTGAGCTGTTGTCCTGGACGCCATCACTCATCATCACATCTCCATCAGTATCTTCAAGCCTAGACCGTGGTCCAGGACCTCCAAACCCTCCCGAGTGGCTTCCCCGCTGACGGTCTCTGCGGGATCTGTCATATGACCGACCCTTGTGGGGGCCTCTGCCTTTACGGTTGCGAAACTGCGGTGCAGTTCTATCATCGTGCTCTGTAATGGAGAGCAAATGTTAGTTTGTGACTTAAATATTACCTCACAAATATGAGATTAAAAAAAAAATATAAAAACATAAAACCATAACAAAATAAACAAAGTTATAAATTAACTCAACCAATCAATCGGTGGAGGGAACTAAAAACTTAAGTCCACTGTTTAAATTGTAAACTTCTCAGTGAGTGTTAATGGCACATACTCACATGTGTACACCTTACATTTTATAGCACATTGAATCTTTGAGTGCCCTCCATACTTAGACTGGAAAGCAACGTGGTGCAGGACCTTCCCTCATTGAGCTCTGCAGTTACTCTATTAAATCCGACCCTATTCTGTCTTCAAAACATAAGCTTTTTCTGGTATTCAAATAACAAAACTGGTCCATATGTCAAAAAGATACCATAAGCACATCTCTAGGTAACCCTCCACATAATTTTACCTCCTTGGCCCATGAAATCAATGCTTCTGACCTCTCTCCTCTCCATTAAGTCTCCACGGTCTGAAGGAAAACAGTCAAAGTTGCAGAGATGTGAGGTTAAAGCTGGAGGGAACATGGTTTCTTACCGTTGTAGTAGTGGCCGCCATCCGCCATATTTCTGTAATGTTGTTAGATGAAAAAAAAACACAGCCCTGTGCCGAAAATATTAAGTGTGGGGGCTGGTGTTCTCTTTTTCACGAAACACAAAGCCGAGACTGTGAACGAAACTCCAACATTCAGAGTAGTTGAGAGAAAACCAAAGCGACCGCGGCGATGAAAGCAGGCTTCTCTTTAGCTAGCTGCTCGCTGAGCTAGCTTCTTGTGCTGCGCGTTGACGAGGAAAGACGACGGAGATACAACTGTTACAGCCTTTTCTCTTCCGGGGCAACACGCAGAGGCGGGCATTTAAAACAACAACACATCTGAGGGAGTGGTGGAAGAACAAGAATACAACGTGGGGACAAACCCACACTCTGCACAATACTAAAGTCTTTGGTAACGTTACGGTGAACTATTGCATCACCTACGATAAACCCAGACGGCGGATGTCTGAACATTAGAATAGCTACCAGTTGACTAAAAATACATGAAGGACACCTGAAAACCTCAGCAGGGTTTGTATTTCTACACAGACACGGAGAGACGAACTGCTGTCTTAAAACTGAGTCCACGGCTTGTCAGTTGATACCACATACAGCCAATTCGAAATTAAAATACCAACGGATCCTCTCCAAAGCTGCTCCAATTTAGTTAAACGAATTTATTAATTATCCACTCGCCCTCCAAGAGGTTTCGAAGGACATAAATATGTATCTCTGTTGTTTATTTCTTAATAATAATGGATTTACCTTTGATATTTACTAATCAGCGTCGCCGGGGGGGGAGGGAGGTCTGGGCCGACCTGCTCCGCCTGCTGCCCCCGCGATGGATGGATTTACTAATTGCACTGGTTTAAACTGCAGTTTTGTTTTGAAATAAATAAATTGTTCATCCCTTCCTGAAAATTCAGTGTATGTTTGAACGTTGTGGTACACATTAAAAATAAGAATCATATTAATTTCAAAGGCCTCCGAATCTCTCCCAGTTTTCAAAACATGACCTCTTTGAATGTGGAACGTACATAACCCTTTTTCAGACATACAAAGTTAATTGAAACTGTAAAAAAAAAAAAAAAAAATTAAGATAGCATTCTATGTGATTAGAGTACATACTACAGTGGGCTATTAACCTTAACATTCAAATTAGTGGGATTAATTTGCATAACTAACAATACTGTTGAGTCGTAACCTTAATATGTAATGTATTGATGTAAATTTGTATTTTAAATAATACTATAGGGTCTAAATCTTAATATTTAAACTTGTAAGGTGAATTCCTAACTCCAGGCTTATTTCTCTACATTGACTCAACAGCTGCTGCTTTAACTGAGCTATATAAATACCAGTGACTTGACAAGGACTAACACATTTCCTTTTTGCGTCTGCTGTCATCTTGTTTTAACTTTATCTTGTATAAAGTTAAGTTGCCTTCTGTGTATCTTGTTATTATTTAGATGTGGAAAAAGTAGGTTGCTTGTGTTCCTGACAACAGATCATTTTCTACACAGTTGAAGGTGTCCCTTTTGTGTGTGTTGTTTTCTACTAATCAAGCCATGTGCTTTCAATCCCCCAATTACTCCACATGCTCATCCTTGAAGTGCAGATCCAGGACAGGTGCAGGTGGAGCTAATAACATTAATGAGGTCTCAGTCAGTCCTGCACAGCAGCAGGACCTGTTTTTCGTGGAATACAGGTTCATAAATACAATGGCTTTTCCTCCTGCAATGACAAGCTAAAATATCTGCTGTGGTGTCCATTGCTGTTGTTTTAGTCCAGTGTGTAATAAAAAAAACACACACACATATGCCTGATTTGCAGCAAATACACACTGATTTGTGCTTTATTCATTTTAAAATAAAAATATGATCCTTTGTGTATGTAACCAACTGAGCTTCAACCACAAGCAGGTGATTGAACCTGCTGAAGTGAGACTGATAGCTTGGAGGTGATCATGGGTCAGACTCACCGGTGTCCATCGCACGTGTCACCACGAGGTTGGAGAAGCGGCTCGGGAACAAAAACATGCGGTCCATCCAGAAACACTCCTCAGCCTTCAGGAAGACTTCTACAATTTATTGTATCATTAGAAAAAAACATTTCAAAGAAGTATCCGTTTTAAAGAGGAGCTGCACATTAACTTCTTGCGAATTTACGGAGTTTGGTGAGTAGGTTAGCGTTAGCTTTAGCTAGGTGTTAGCGATTAGTACGACGAGATGTCAGAACTGACATCAAACCTACAGACACAGTGATAGTTACTGAATAATTTCTTTTACCGTCGTTATTTGTCGTGAAAATACAGGAAACAACAGCTTCAGTCTGCAGCCCGGGTTCACTGCCGATGCGTCCCGCTGTCAGGTTTTCATGAAACGGGCGACAACATGGCGCCACCTGGTGGAACGACTGGGTTACTGCAGTCTGAGCACTCCTGAAACTAATGATGAAACATATCTGTTTTACTGACAGCAAACCAACATCCTAACGTTTTTGATCAGTTGTTTCATATTTTTATTAGGGCATTAATTTATGATCAGAATGACAAGTGAGTTCATCTAGGACTATTTCAATTATAATTTTTTGAAAAATATTATTCTTACGTTTGTCTAAAAATAACCAAACAAAGTAACTAGCTTCTGATGACCAGACCTAACAATGCTCCAGGTAAAATCAGTGGCTTTCAAACCTTTTCGACATCTTAAATACAAGCACGATCAAGTGTGGCCTCTTTGTCACTTTCTATGGTTGTTCATGATGTTTCACCTTGAAACTTTTAGGATAATGTCATAGGGAGCCCCCTAAAATACCCAACTGTATATAAAGCAATTTAAACTAGTTTTACATTGACCATCTCGGCTGTAAAATGCTGTTTATGTTTTGGTGGCAAGTACTTTTAATACAGTTTTTTGTTTTTTTATGTTTACCTTTACTTACGTAAATAGTACCTTATTGAAAATATTTTGTGTACCCTTATTGGACAAGTTGGTACATTATTGCAAATTATTGCAGTTTTAAAAACTGAACATTGTTTTGGTTTTCCCAAAGTGGGGATTTATTTCAGGACTGTTGCTGCGTAATTTATGAGCTAGGTGTACATGTTGGTATTTTGTCTCGAGAATGGCCTGGATGAGGTGATGAAAGAATCTACTGTGAAGTGTTCTCTGCAGCTCATCCCAGATTACAGTACATAATGTGTGCATTAACTGCTTAACATCCAGCTTCCTTTGGTTTCTCTTTAAAGCAACTTTAAATTCTGAAAAATCCCGCTTAATTTCTTTGATATTTATGGATCCCACAATCTATTACATGGGAATATTTTAAGTGTCTTCTGCATGGAGATTTGCACTATAATCTAGATGTTTTAATATCATACAAAGTGTTTTCTTGCTTCCTTTGTCTTCCTCTGGCCTCTCTTTATACTTTAGATGTTTGGCATTTATCATTGACTTAATATGAGATGTTGGATGGTGGGTGGATGGTTTCAGTGTAAAAATTATGTGGATATATAAAGTGATACAAGCAGTCATTGTTTAATATACTTAGAATGAACTGTTTAATTGTAAAGCCTATAAGGAACAGGAAAAAAACAAACATTTTAGCTGCATCATAAGAAAATAATTCAAATATCTGATAAAAACACCTATTTCATCCATATATCTTCAACTAATGTGTGTATTTGTGTATATGATTAATTATAAAACACCTTTGCTTCTGTGAAGTAACAAGCTGAGCATGAGCTGAAACAGAGATTTCTGAGTTTCTGCAGACTAACCAAATAAAAAAAACATCATCAGCATTAGTAGATAACAATCTTTGGATTTTTTTTGTATTTTGTGAATGCTAAAAAAAAAAGAAAGAAAGACAGACAAAGAATAGAAAAGATTTAAAAAGTCTTGTAAAATCTTAAAAGCCTGTCTTTGTAACAAATCAGTCTTGCCTGTTAGAGTATGCACATACCAGATGTACAGCTGCAAGACAATCACATCACTTTCTGTAGTATTTAGCCACTGAAGTTGCCATAAACAAGTTCTCCTCTTGCTGTCTCAGTTCAGTTCAGCGTGTAACAGCAACCGTTTTATCCACCTCATCTTGAAATTCAGTGTTGTTTAAACAGGAGATGCCACAAACACAACCCTCAGTGTATTTCATTTAACAGTCTTTTCCTCTCCACAGCCATCCTGCTGCTGCCAGGAGACCACACTGACGGCCTGACTCAGAGATGTGATGAGGGAGGACAGACCGATGAGGTAGCCGTCCTCCCTGCTGCCTTCAACCCACGGGACGTTGTGTCGGAGCTCCCTGCCGTCTGGCAGCGGGGTCGTCTTTCCGAAGTCTATCATCCACACGCTGGCCCTGCTGTGGTCGTGGACAAAGAGAAGCGAGCTGCCAATCACCTGGTCGGGACAAACATATAGATTTATTCATTCCAAGATTGCAGGATGAATCTGAATGTTTCATGTCTTCCACTTTCAGTTATTGTTATTTAAGACAGAATTCAACGAGAAAAGACTTTTCTCTACGTGTAAACCCACCTCATGGGTTCTGAAAAATGGGGAATTCTTGAGTGTGTCGTTCAAGGCCAGTAGTCTGGAGTGGTACGCTCTCTGAGAACACACGGGTACAGTTGTTGTTTAGTAGCAGTAAATGGCACAACTATAACAGAATGAAAGAATAATGTAATAAACTAAGAGGAGAGGATGCGTCAGGAGGCCAGCAGCTAAGACCAGGGAAGTAAAGGAGGAACATTTTTTTACTTTTCTCAGTTTAGTTTTAAAGTGTTTATTTCAGTTTTCAGTTCTTCAGCATAATTTCATTTTCCTAATAGCTTGTTGTTGGTCAATTCTCTCTTAAATCTTCTGTAAACAGAATTCACCACTGCAACGCTTATGTTTTGAAAGTTATATATGACCCAAATATTCATAGTTTTCCAGGCTAGTTGTATTCAATTTACATTTTTGAGTTTTTTTCAGTCGGTTCAGCCATTGTTTTTGACGTTTGTTCTTTGCTAATTATGATATTGTTGATGATAAGTTTCCTAAAGGATAGGTAGTTTCATGTAAGTTGTGTTTCTATGACAGAACTGACCAGAGTGTCCAGCTGACCACCGGTGAAGTAGAGCAGCGCCTCCGTCACCTGAGCTAAAGTCTGAATATTTCTGAAGTCCCGCTGAACACTGCCGTCCTCCGTCTGACTCACAGAGACAGAAACACAAAGACATGGTACATTTAAGCTTTTAAACTGTTCAGAGAAAGAGGTATTTTTGAGTAACATGAGTCGTGCAGTGATCTCCCTGGCCTTCACTCCTACCATAATGCCCTCTATCCTGAAGCCCAGTGTGGACGTAGAACTGGTTGTATCCCTCCACTGGAGGTAGCGCCATTTGGTCACCCCATTCTGGGCATGTTCCTCTGCTGACGGAGCAGATGGGTCTATTTTCACCATCTTCTGGTACATGTCGCTCCGCAGGGTGGCTTTGGTGCGAGATTTGATCAGTTCTTCCTCCTGGTAGGTCCTAACAAAGAAATCCCAAATAGTTCATCATATACATGCAGTGTGACCTAATATGAAAATGAATGCTGTCTGTATTTGTCAACTTTGTTGGATTTTTATTTTTGAAAATGGACATTAGAATTATATAGGGTCTGTGAACAAAAACAGCAGAAGCTACACTTTTTAGCTGCCAATTATAAGGTGAATTGCAAATCAGATTTAGCATCATGGCTGGAAATCAAAGCCAAATGTAATCCATGTCATGGAGAAGGTTTATTATTTAGAGTCAAAGTCAAACTGATTCAACTGATTAGGTTATCTGACGTCGAGATTTTTAATAAACAGCTGTTTCCAACTTCGACAAGGAACTTCAAAATGAACATTCCTCTTAAAAAAGGCAACTCAATAAACCATGTCAAGATTTTTGCATAATTTAAAACTCCAGATGTTAAATAGACTTTGAAGTTATATTGTTTCGTCAGTTATTGTGGACACATGGGAAGAAAAGATAAATATAAAGTGAAACGGAATGAAGAAAGTGATATATAAATTATGTTTCTTAATTTGTGGACCGTTTTCTTCACTCTGTAGTGTCCTATTTGTAATTTACAGATACTCAGACAATAGTAGATCTCCTGGTCCAGTTACAGACAAAAGTCAAGGAAAATGTACATGTAAAAACACAAT